CTAAATGGCACGGCTCATGGCCCCTGCCGGGGTTCGAGGTGCCCCAGATGGGGGAGAACGTTTACGTTGTAACGTTCGACTTGTTTATAGAGGAAATGTTTTGTCCTATGGAGATCTGCTTTGGGATCTCCACCTCGGAGGTGGTTTTGCTCCGTGTACAACTTCTCTGTCTGCGAATGTGCTTTGTACTGTTTATGAATGCTCTTCTGAGCTTCGTTCGCAATGTGCTCTGTATATATATGCGCTTGTTTTTGGAATTTTCACATTTGCTTTGGGCTCCGAGCCTTTTGATTGGCTCTAAGAGAACCTTCTGTGATTGGTTGGCAAAGTGGCTCCAGAATGCTGCTGAACTCAATATAAGCAGCACCCAAAGGGGCCCTCCAGCCAGAAGACAGATATTCAATAAACGTATTAACCAACCAACCCGCAGAGGGCTCGGCTCCTGGACACCAAGCCTTGAACATCACCCTGCCACTGAAGGCCAACCTGCACGTCTGACCCCTTTCGGTTGTGGTGCCTTCCGCCCCCTAACTTGAAAACTTGGGACCCCTTAGGGTTGTGGAGGAGGTCGGCTCGCCCGCCTTTGTGGGGATCCTTGTTTGTCGAGCTTGGCTGTGGTCGGGACACCCGCTGAAGTTGTGGTCGAAGAGGACGGCAGGGGAAGCCCCCCAGAAGTTAGGAGTATTTCTTTCCGAAGGTTCATTGACGAATTGACCATATCTGTCACAAAAAGAGGCTCTCTCATATTCGTCAAACAAACAGTGGTTTGCTAATATCAGAATCGTCATCAACGTAGAAAACATTCCAATTTTCTCCGCGACAGTATCCCATACAAATACCGCCGAAAAGTCAGATGAGACTCATGAGCGAGGATCAATGCATTATTGTTCAGTTCGTGGTCATATGCGTCCAGGAGTAATAACAGCCGCTAACAAAACGCGAAAGTAGGAGCACAACGACGCGGCTAACGTTCGCTGCGCGTAGCACAGCCCATAACTTTTTTTTTTCCTTGTGCTAACATCCTGAGGCGTGTCCCCCAGACGAAAACGACGCAGCGTCCAAATTCCCCAAACCCTCCCAGCAAGTTTCCGCCCCGTACTAAAGTATATATATAAAAGAAGAAATGCGGGGGCGAGAGGGAACTTTGCAAAGTCTTGAGCGCTGAACTTCGCCCACGCCCAAAGCCCTCATCGTCATCACCATCACCGTCCGGCTTACAGAAAACCGAAACTAAATCACTCCATACAAAAATGCATACCCTCAAAGCGCGCGCGCGCGCCGCCTGGCGCACTCGGAGAAGTGCAACCACCGTGGGTCTGAAGGTTGGCCCGCTGAACCGCAAAAGAAAGAGCCGAGCACAAAAACCGTAGACTTCAAACGTACCGGCGGCGCCTATCCAAGGCAAAATCGTTCTTTTTTTTTTTTTTTTTAAGCCGACGCCTGGCGGTACGTTTTCGAAGCTCTTCTCGTTGCAGACGACCCCTGTCGTCTGCTATTTTGCTTGCGTAGTTTCGTCCGCTTCGGAGGTTACAATGGGAAGGTCTGTCCTCTCTGGCCATGCTTGCAAAAAGGGCGTTTGTGGATGCGCGCGCGCGCCGGCGTCCTCAGAAACCTGCTTTGTCATTATGGCCGACGCCCATTCGTTTCGCTCTTGTTTCTCTTTTTGACTTTTTCTCGTGTCAGATTAGACATGCCCACACAGCACAAGGCAATACGAAGAAGTGAGAGACTCTATACACCTTCCCAGCACTTATCACCCGAGCGAAAAATGCCTAGTCATTGGGCTGTGGATGCATGCGTGGCGTCTGGTTTTTCGCTGAAGAGAGTTGTAGTGCGCATGCCCAGAACGCGTTCCAAAGCCCAATAGACAAAGATGGCCGCCTGCAGAAGGCGGCTATTGGAATGGTTTATGACTCGCACTTTCTGTTGCGCAAACGCAGACACTAAGTCCATCGAGAAAACGAAACCCGGTTTTTTCGGCCCATATGAATAAACTACGCGTCGCAGAAGCCCGAAACTCCGTGACAATGTGACGCAAGCGGGGTGATAAAATGCGAAATTGTGAGAACATGACGTTACCTAAATCAAAAGATACAAAAAAAAAAAAATTCCTTTGCGAATTCACGTTTACTTCAAACATAAATTTTAGATTGTAGGCGCCTGTAGCAGTTGTTTCGGTAGACAAACATGCCAGTAGGAAAGACGATTATTGTCTTCTTTCTTGCTCAGCAGTTTTTTTTTTTGTTGTTTTTTTTCTCTTTTTTACTTGAACAACGCGTTTTTTTACTTAAACAATGGGATGCGGTCCGAATAATTTGGGTTTAATGTTATCAATCGATCCCGGTAGATGTGGTCGGTTATGAAATCGATGCTGATATAAAAAAAGGGGACATACATACGTAATGAAGTTCACAGTGCGTTGAAAATTCAGCTAGAGGGGCTGCTTTTCGAGTGATGACGTTCTAAGCGTCCCTTTGTATCAACGCTTGATTAAGTGGCCAACACATGTTCCAGAAATTCGAAGGCAAACTCAGAAACGATCGCCACTGAGCACTGCGGCGGTTAAAGGTTGAGCTTGTTGGTACACACTTGTAAATAGATCAGCTTGGACTTTAGAACTATACTTGAACACAAAGAAAGGACAGGAGAGGACAGCTGTCTGTCCTTTCCTGTCCTTTCTTTCTTCGTGTTCAAGTATACTTCTAAAGGTCAAGCTGATTTATTCTCAAGATAATCACTTCTTAAAAAAAGAGAAGAGAAAAAAAGAAAAGAAAATAGGATTTCAGTTTTTTAAGAGTACTACGCTAGAAATTTAGTGTTACCTTGAAATATGTCGGGACAAATTACTGCAATCTGAATTTTGCTGTATCACCACCGAACCGTAAAAACAAACGCCTTGTTATGCTACTCAAAAAAAAAAAAAAAAAGAATCGGTCCGACGATTGCATTACAAAAACCGTCACACGCATGTCACGCCCTCTGTCACGCGTCAATTGCCAAAAAAACGACCGTCTAAAAATAACCAGCCGGCCGAGAAACTAGAGGAGTTTGGCAACACTGACATTGACAGCAGGCAGACCACGCTTATTTGCATTCTACATTGCATACCTGCCTTGAACGCATTTTTCACCACACCTACAGTCAGGTCTTAGGGGAAGGGGGGAGGGTAAAGAATGGGCACGGTTGACAGGAGAGTGCAGTCTGCGCGCATTTTCGCGGCCATCTTGAAAAAAGAAAAGTGCCACACTCTCCCTTCTCTTGTGCTCAAACCGGAATGCAGACACAAAAGGCCACTTCCTCAGACTCTCATCCAACCTCGGGAGAGGCACACTTGAATCCAAATGCAAACATGGGTCTGCTCGAAGGAAATCGTCTTGGCTTGGCTTGGGTTGGCTTGGCAGTCGTCCCGTGGGTCTCTTTGACTACACACATCGAACTCTGGGAGCGGTCTTTGAAGGGTCGGGGAAGGGGACGTAATCAATTGGTTTTGACCAACAAAAGCCTTCCTCCCACGTATGATTTCCTTTTCAATGTGTGGCTTGGAGGGAGAGAGGGGCACGGTATGTTGGCTCCTTTTAGTTGCGTTGATGAATGCCGGCTCTTCGCTGTCGGCGACGTTGAGGGCCCTAGCGAACGGACACTTAAATATGTCGCGATTGGTCCTGACTGAACACCATCGCATAAATGCTTGTGAGGTTTGACGCTATTACTACATAATGTTGTTTACTTGTTCGGGCATAATGCCGTTTACTTGTTCGGGATGGAAAATAAAGGTATAGCATTGTGTTGTAAATTACCGCCATTGTGCGCCTTGGAGCTTTCACATGTCCTCTCCGAGCCAAATTGTGGTTGAGTTTTCTTTTTTTAGTGTGTATATGAAAACATAATTTGTATTTATACGCACGAGGGAGTATATTTCTATGTGCTTGCGAGAAGCGACCGATGGAATATTTATATCTAAAAAAAGAGTGAAAATATATTGAAATATTTTGTTTCTGTATCTACTTTAGGCGAGATGTTATCGGTGCCAAATAATACAAAGTTTTATTCGGCAAATCGGGTACTTCGCCTCAAGCCTCTGAAACGTGCACAATCCTGCGGTCACATGCCGGTGCTCGGAAGTAAAGACTGTACATAAAGAATGAACTTGATAGCTCTACTAACATTGAACTGACCGGAACAGGTCCTTTCACGATTTCCGCTCGTCTCTTGTGGCTTCCGTGATTTTATGTTGTCGGTGGTTTGCTCGATAGAACAGTTCTCCCGGTAACTCTGTCGTAGCTGTAGTATCAGCTTGTTCCCAGGTTGCCCTGCATGTAACCTACGCAACCCCGTGAACAAGATATTCCGCGTTTATCAACGTTCATCAGTACCGTGGAAGGACAGTAAGCAGTCTTTTCGTCGCTTCCTCGAAGAAAGTCGAGCCTCTGGAAGCTCGCTTAGGCCAACACATCGCGCAGGTTCGAAACGTGGAGGATGAAAAGCGGGGCAAACCATTTTGAGTCCAATGCTGGATATGCAAATACCCCAGCGTTGCGCGTTGAGCTGGCACACGGTAGGGCACGGCCTGTATTAGAGCATCATATTTGCCCGATAGCGGCATCCCCTATAGGTGACTGGAGTCGCGAATAGTGCGCAGTATTTTTGTGACCTGCCAGGATCCTCGAGAGGGCGCAACTTTTTTTTTAAATGTGTCTATCGATTTCATGGGCCTGCGATGGCTATGCTTTGTTTCACGCCAAGTCCGACCGCAACTGCAATCTGATTAGCCAACCAAGCGGCGCCAAAAAGGGCATCGTCATGGCGCACGCCGCCTTTGTACGTTTGCTGTCGCCGATCCTGCGCCTTTGTACATTTGCGCCGCGATCCTGCATTTTTTCTTCTATTGGTTTAGTTGTTGATAGCATACACACAAAGACATCTAACAGTGTTGCTCAGAGTGCATGACACATTTATGAACGCAGACCTCATCGAGTTCTCTCGCTTCCTTTTTTCCGCAGTCGTCGAGGGTACGGTGACGTCCCTGAGGCACCTGGCGCGGCGTGACGTCACCGAAATCACGGTGTCAGCAGCCCGCGTCCACAGGGACTCTCCCCGGGAGCCCGCCTTCGCTGCCGCCCGCGACCGAAAAAACATGGCGGCGGCCGTCTTGGAGCGCCCCCTCAAGTGCGGCACCAAAGCCGGAAAGGGACACTTCCTCTTCCTCGGCGTCCGAGTGCTGGGAAAGCCGACTCTCCGCTGCGCCCCGAGGCTGAAACACTGGCGGAAACTACGGGATCGTGCGCGCCGCGACGGCACCAGTCCGTGCACCCTGCTGTGACGACACTGTGCGTGGTCTTCGGTGTGGAATTTGTGGAGTGACTCTCTGGCCTCGAGGAGACGGACGGACCCTGTGCGCGTCGTCGGAGATGCCGCGTCCTGTAAAGCTGCTATCAGATTTCAATAGGTCCTAGATACGAAATAGTGGGGAGATATACGATGTTGCGGCCTGTCTGCCGTGTGTACGAAGGGAATGCATTTTAAAGTCGGAGTCACTCCGCTCGTCTACCCTGGCCGCGGTTGAAGGGAGTGTGAAAACTGCATTGTTTACCGTGTCGTTGCCACTCGCCTATCATAAGTTTATTTTCTACACGAATGAAGCTCTTTGACCCAAATATGTTTTTTTTTTCTGTTTTTGGTTGTTACTTTTTCCTTTACAATCTGAACCCAAACGTTGTTGTGTTTTTTTTTTTTTTTTTTGTACTGTTTGCGACGTTTTGTTTCCGGTGGGTTTTGTATGCTTCGTTTTGCTTTCGCGAGGATTAGGGTGAGGGGTGCTTGCCAATGCCGTGCCAAATCAAAGGAACAAGACACTAATGAAGACTGTTCGAAGAGGTGGTGAAGCTAGTTTCAATCAATCGATCAGCTTTCTCTTTTTTCCCCAAGGCGAAAACACTGAACGGCCCAGGTGTACAAAAGACAGTGACGTCGTGAAAGGAACAATTCAGTGCCCCAAGCTCTAACGGCGGTCTCGAATACAAAATTTTCAAATGAGGTTCTAATTTACTGGCCACAGAAATGTACCACGCTGCTATTGTAGCGCCTTCGCAGTTTGCTTGCTTTACGATGCATGACGCAACGGGTGTCTGTGGGTGTGCTTGAGCGACGACAATTTCCCTGATATACCATACTGCGCAGTGCCACAGCGGAAAGAGCATAATGCAAACCATTCAATCAAGTGCAATGTTTGCCAGTGTGTAATGTACATAACTGTTTTGCTTTATTTTTATTTTTGTACATATTCAGGATTTATCTTAGGCCTATTGTGTTTTTTTTTCCCCAAGGTCACCGATCTCGCGCTGATCAGCGGTAGTACTTAATGGTCAGCTTTGCTTCGCTGCTGCACTAGCTTCGGAACCGTGCAGCAAAGTATACGGTTGTTTTGAGCTTGTGCAATACGTGCAGCCTATGAACTGAAACAAGTGACGATGTCCAGCGAAAGCAGAGCTCCAACGAACTGAATAGACGCACGATGTCGATCAATCGACCTTTTTTTTTCGCACTGAGGCGACACCAAGTGGCGAAAGCATGAAGTGCCATTGGCGTCCGGAAGGGAATTTGCACTACATCTTGTGCCTCCTCTACGATTCGTCTGAGTTGTGGACGAGGCAGGAGAGGTAGCGAAACTCCCCTCTTTGAGGACGCCAACCCTAGTTCGAGCTTTCGCCGTTGCGGCAAGGGGGGCCTGCGCGTGAGCAAAACTCTTATTGGAAAAGGTAATTTAAAGAGGCCACATTTTTTTTATATAGAATCGGCAAAGCCGTCCTTATAAGTGTAGTTAAAAAAGCTGACTATTGACTTAAAACCTTTGGCTGGTGACGTTTCTGTCATTCACTCATGTGCCGGTGAAAGAACGGTTCCTGATTATTTTGATTTGCGATTTCACGCGATGCAATAAGTCACCAGGCTTCTGCGGTGGAAACTGGACGAACAAGTCAGAATTAGTGTGTAAATACGCATTATATGTACAAATACGTGTATAATAGTGTAGATACGAATTGGAAACAAAATAAAATATCTTGTTGCAGGAGTCCGCCGCACATTTTCGTCGTTTTTTCTTCGGTCATTAGCTCGAATTTTTTGCGCATTTGTGTTTGGTGTTCGTTGTACATGATCTACTCTTGTAACTGGGCCGTGCGCATGTGCAAGTGGCGTTCTGCTATGGCGCCTGGAACCAGGGGCAGATTTAGAAGGGCCCTGCAACGACTTTTTGACTGGTTTTTTATTTGCACCGAACCTGAGCGCACTGAACGTAGTAACTTGGTAAAACTTTTCTAGAATTTCGCTTTATTTTCAAAGTTATAGGCAAATTAAAATTACAGAAAACAAGCAAAAAAATGACCTCCTTCATGCCGTCCCTGGTTCTGGCTTGGGTGGCCGTGAACAAAAGGAGGGGTAGTGGGCTCACGGCTGCTGCACTCCGTGGCGACGGCTCGAGAGGGCGCCACTAAAGCATGTGCTGGATAGGCTGGATGAAGCGGGCGGCCAGGGGGGGCTCGCTTTGCATTTGCTGCGCGACTAAACACTTATTCGGCATGACACTTTATTGACGCACTGATATTTACTCTCTCCAAGCCCGCTGGGTTGCCCGAACCACAAGAAATGAACGTCTTCCCTGCAATTTTTTTTTTTTTTTTTTTTTATGGGAAAGACGACATACACCAGTTTTTCATTTGTCGAAGAAATGTTTAGTGTTTGGTGAAATGGCAAATATTAGGTCAACAAAATAGATCAACAACGAACGAAGAGAGCGAACGTTAAGTAGCCCGCAACGCGGGCAGTTCGATGTTCCTCGAGGATTATTTCCGTCGAGATAATCTCCGAAAATTCTTCCCGGCTATGTTCCCAGTTTTAGCGAAAAATAGTCGATAGGGTCGGGTCCGGTGTATCGTGTATGGGGACGGAATAGACAGGTTCGTTCATTTGCTGTGCAAAAAAAGAAAAAGCAGCTCTTTTCAAAACGTGCCCCTAAACAATGATGAAAATAATCCCCGGAGAAAGGGACAGAGGACAAACACAAACTTCTAAAAACAGCTAGGTGACTGGTGCGCGACCGAGAAAACCCGCCTGCTTCGGACATCGAACCAGAAACCTCTCCATTACAAGTGGAGTGCTCTACCAACTGAGCTAACCAGGGGTTAGACGTCCGTAGAGCAAACGGTTTTTATCAGCTGCCACCAGTCGTACACCAACAAGGGTGAAGCTTGCAATTTAAGGTTACGATTATAATGCAAATTTTTCGGTCGCGCACCAGTCACCCAGCTGTTTTCGGATATTTGTGTCTGTCCTTTGTCCCTCTCGTTCCCCTGCTCCAGGGATTATTTTCATAATTTTTGTCCAGCTCGCTTGCAGCTTTGCATTTAATTGCATTATAATCACAACCCCTAAACAAGCCGGATTCAGCCTCATCATCGTGAAGTAACTATTGTCGACACTGGATATGCTGTGTTATTTTAAACAGTTCTTATCCTGTTCGGATAACGCGACACCGTGGGGTACGTACAAATTACAGTATGTTGTTCGATTGATCAGCCTCAAAGGTTCAGAGGTGTTTATTGGCTAAAGCAACCATATGACCGAGAGCCCGATGCAATCAAAAGGCAGAAGCTCGTGCATACATATGCTGATTTCCTCCTCGGCCATACGTTAACAGATGAAATGGAGATGTTGGAATGTAATTTACATAAGGTGAGAATACTTAGCCTAATAAAGAGAGTAGGTGTCGTGGTGATTCCGCACCAGATCTTTAAATTCGTCTACGCTTGGGGCCTGGCGAGTAGCACCTGGTAAGTGATTCCACAGGGTAGGCGCTTGGACAAAGAGGGAGGTACAGGCACTAATGGTGCGGGCAAAGCGCTGTTCAAGTTTCGAGGGGTCTCGCCTAGACCTCCTAAAGTAACCATCAGGGATGGGACAGACACCATGTAGGTACCTGTAGAGGAGGACCCGTCTGAAGAACAGTCGACGTTTATCAAGTCTGGACCACCGGAGGGATTGCAGCCGCCTTTCATAGGGTAGCTTGCTTGCCCCCTTGTCCTGCAAGTAGAGTGCTGTCTTTGTGGCCTTTCTTTGCGTCGACTCTAGTCTCCTCTGTAGGTCAACCTGGCGGGGGCTCCAGACAGAGGAGCAATACTCCAAAACCGGCAGTACAAGAGCCGTGTACAGTGTACAAAAGGCATGGCTTGGCATCTCACTTGTTGTCCTGGTTATGAAGCCTCTCAGTTTGCTCGCCCTTTTACAGACGTAGTCAACGTGCCTTCTAAAAAAAAAAGGGTCTTGCCAAACCAAACACCAAGAATCTTAGTGTCTGTGACCTCTTGTATGCGCGCTTCCCTTATGCATTGTAGACGACGTCGACGGGTTTCCTTTTTCTTGATATTTTAAGGTACACAGTTTTGTCTGGGTTGAGGAGCAGTCCGTTGACTTCTGACCACATGCAGATCCTGTGCAGATCGGACTGCAGGGTTTGGCGGTCGTGAGAGGACTGGATTATGCAATACAGTATGTGATCATCTGCATACCGAAGAATGTTAGATTGTATGTCGACCGCAAGGTCGTCGATGTATAGGTTGAAGAGGAGTGGCCCTATAACAGAGCCCCGAGGCACACCCACTCTGACATTGTGCCATTGGCTAAAGGCACCGTGGAAGTTAACTCGCTGACGGCGATTACCCAGGAAGTTCGATACCCATTTAAGGGTTGCTCCGGAGATCCCCAAAGCATGGGAGCATGGTAAGGATGTGGTCATGGTTCACACTGTCGAAGGCCTTCGAGAAGTCTATGGACAGCACATCTGCTTCCTTCGAGCTGTCCAGGGCACTGCTCAGGTCGTGGTGCAGGAGAGAGAGAGAGCAGAGTTTCGCAACTCCACCCCTTCCTAAAGCCATGTTGAGAGCTGCAGAAAAGGTTGTTGACTTCTAGGTGCGTGGAGATTTTACTACAAATTAAGGTTTCAAATATTTTGCAGAGGATGCAGGTGAGGCTTATTGGCCGGTAACTTTCGAGAGAGTTCAGTGGTTTCCCCGTTCCTTTGTGGACAGGGGTCACATGCGCTAGCTTCCAGACATCAGGGATGAGTGCCCTGGAAAAGGAGTCGTTGTACAGGTCTGCCAATGGGACGAGAGTGCCGCAGCGCAGGCCTTCAGCAGGAAGGGGGGAATGCCATCTGGGCCAGGGGAGGCGCCAGGTTTCAGCTGGGAGATGGCAGCCGCAACGTCCTCGGTGGTAACGGGTGGAGGGACGAACACAGGAATTGACTCTGTCCGGTTGTGCTTCTCAGCAGGGGGACTTTCAACTTGGGGAGGAGGGCAGGAGTTGTTAAACGCGGGCACCGCATCGCTGAAGTGTTGGCCAAAGGAGTTGGCGATGACCTGAGCATCGTCAGTGTATGTACCTCCTATTTGAAACTGGGTAGCAGCACTGTTACGTCGCAATGATCCGTAGAACTGCCAGAAACGTCTGGGGCACGTTCTTGCCTGGCTTGCCATGTCGCAGAGGTAATTCCGATAGGATACTCTTATCTCCCTTTTCAGCTATCTAAAGAGATCCTTGTATGCCGCCCAATGAGTTGCAGACTGTGTTTTTGAGGCCCTTTTGAAGAAGCGCCTAGTCTTGCTTGACAACTGCTTGATGAGTCCAGTTATCCATGGTTTGCTTTTCTTGTGTTTGGAAGAGATCATAGTATGCATAGAGTTTCTTCATGCAGCCCAGAACATATCATAGAATAGGTCCCATGGGACCTATTCTATGATATGTCATGTCATATTCTATGATATGTCCGTCAGAAAGTCCGTGCAGAGAAACCAAGGAGCCAGGGCAACAGAGCGTTCCAGTGAGTCACGTCCGTCCTTGTTAAACAAGATTGCCTGCTTTGAGATTATTCGTTTTCTTGTGCAGCTGAAGTTACAGGAGGAGGAGATTCCAATGTGGTCAGAGTTAGCGGGGGAGTGTCAGACACCGATAGTAATTGGGCAGGGTTCCGGCAGAGAAATAGGTCTAGGGTATGACCCCAAACATTGCCACGGACGTGCGTTGGGAAGCGGACAATCTGTGTGAGGTTCGCATACTGCATCCAGTCCAGGAACTTGGCCTCTGTCTCGTTTGTTGGCATCGGATCAGCAGAATTCCAGTTGATGTGAAGGTTGAAGTCCCCAGTTAAAACTTAACAGTATGTTCATGTGCCATGTGGCCTTTTTTACGGGAGCTGATCCGATCGAAAACTGCGCACAGCTCAGCGAAGACACCATGACCTGTATTGGGGGCCCTGTACAGTGAACTGAGAAGCAGTTTTCCGCCTCGGCAGTTGAGTTCGGCCCAAACCAGCTCGGAGTTGGGAGCCTCTAAGGGGCCATACGCACATTCGCGTTTGAACGCGTTTGAGTGCGTTGCGGAGTCCTTGCGGCCAGGCGCGGACGCTTGCGGAGCGACGCGCGCCTTCTCGCAACGCTCAGAAGCGCGACGCAAGCGAGTAGAGACTCGCTCAACTTTTCGAAGCGTTGCGGTGCGTTCGGATGCGTTCGACCAATCAGAAGCCGAAAGAAGAGAGGGGGTGACGTGTTCGCTCGCCGCACCCGGCCGACTCGGCGAGACGTATCCGGTTCGCGAATCGCCGGTCGCAGTGCTTGCTTTTTCGTTTTGGAGAGCGGTGGGGACTGTATTTTCCAAGGCTGCGATGGTTCAAGCTTGACAAAACGTCGGGGAAGCCGGCGAGATTGTCCCAAGATCGAACACTTCGATGCTGTCGCTGTACGCCGCCATGTTGCCTTGGATTTCGCTTATTAGGGAGTTTTCGTAGACCGCGTTTCCCCCTCCGCTAGACCCTCCGCAACGAAGTAGCCGCTACTGCGCGCCGATAGCCTGGGCTGTAGAGTTCCGGCTAGCGTAGCTGGTTGCGGAGAGTGTTGCGGGACAGCGGAAACGATCTACGAAAACTCCCTATTAGGGAGTTTTCGTAGACCGCGCTGCCCCCTCCGCTAAGCGTTCCGCAACGAAGAAGTTGCTACTGCGCCTGCGCGCCGATAGCCTTGACTG